TACCTGCACAGAACAGCCCCAGAGCTAAGATTATCCTGCTGGCGTCAACCGTGCTGAGACTGAGCTCCCAGTTCCTGGTATGAAACCCCCCCCCCCAGGGAAAAGCTCATGCTCCTGGGGAAGGTGAGCTGCAGGTGGGGGGAGCTGCCCCCAGAGCGGAGCCTAGGCCAAGCCAAGCCTGTCCAGGAGGTGGCCTTGCTGGTTGGTGCCCAGGAAAGCCCAGGTCTCTGCAGGAAGGCTTCCTGCCACCTGACCATGATGATAGTTCACAACATTTTTATTTTAGGAAACAAAACAAAATGTAACGTGTTATAGTCTGAAAATTATAAACCTCTAAAAATGACCTGTTCTCTTTAGATGTGTGCCTCCCCGAGTTCACCATGGCAAACGTGTAATTTCATCTCGTCACCGTCACACCCTATGCTCCATTTTAGCTGTTTATTTTTTTCTTTTTTTGACATGACAGTTCCCTCTTCGTCACTTTCCAAAGCCTGAGGAGGGAAAGTTTCAGGCAGTTGTTGTTATCTTTTTCTCTCTCCTTCATTCAGGAGGCCAAGATGTAAGGGCTTGTCCTTGGATAGGGTGGGTACCTTATTCTAAACAAAACATGTTAGTCACTTTTTCTGACTCTGTGACCAAAATACCTGAAAAAACAACTTAGAGGAGGAAAGGTTTATTTTGGATTAGAGTTTCAGAGGTTCCATTTCATGCCTCTCTGCCTCCATTGCTTTGGGCCTGGGGTTAGGCAGAACATCATGGTGGAAGGGTGTGGTGGAGACGAGGCAGCTGGGAAGCAGAGGGGGTGGGGAGACAGGGAGGATCAGGGATAAGAAATGGTCTCCTAGGGCACCACCTCGGGACCTGCTTCCTGCCTACAGTCTACCACCTCCCAGTGATCCATTCAGGTATCAGTGGATTAATCCACTCTAAGATCAGAGTCCTCACCATCCAGTCACTTCCCCAAAGCCCTACCTGTGTTGCTGCATTGAGGTTGAAACCTTCCACACATGATCTTTTGGGAGGCATTCCAAATTCAAGTCACAGCACGAAGGAAGGTGGTCATTGCAAGAAGTTGTCTGTAGCTCATACCATAGTTCCTGCAATTTGGACCTTGAGTGTCCCCCAAGGCCCAGGGATGGAAGGCCTGGCATGACGGGAAGCTGGTGGGATGTTGAAGAGGTGGGGTGTTGTAGAAGGAAGTTAGGTTACTGGGGTGTGTCCTTGGGGGAGAAATTGGGATTCCGTCCCCTTCCGTCTCTTGGCTGTCATGAGGTGAATCGACCTCTTTTGCCACATGGTCCTACCATCATGTCACAGGTGCCTCAGGCCCACATAATGGAGCCAAGTGGCCGTGGACTGGAGTCTCTGAACCCATGAGCCAAGACAAACTTTCTCCCTTTTCAGTTGATTATCTCGGGTACTTTTTCACAGTAATGGAAATATGACTAACACCATCTTTGACAGAAGAGTATTTTCTCTTGGCTTAGACCTGGCACACTGAAAAATTGTGGGAAAGAAAAAAGGATTTTATCTAGCCTGTTATTGATTTTAGCTCAGCCTGGGAGGTCAAGACGGGCAGGGTTCCAATCCCCCTGGGTGTGCAGTGCCTCTTGGTGGGAGCCCATGTGTTAGTGACCTTCTGTGGGTGCCAGGCATGGGAGCAAGCAGTGGCCCCCACTTCCACAGAGCTGGTCACACGGGCCTACTGAGGCTTGCTCCTGCTCCCACTTCATCATTGCAGTCACTCGCTTGTTTTAACCTGGGGCTGTGATAAGACTCCTGCTGCCTCTCAGCTGGGTTGCTCTGGGTACCCCGAACCTCCTTGGTCTTTAGTAGAAATGAATTATGTTTAAAGCATAACTATCTTAACATGAATCATTTAATGAAATTTCATATCTTAAGCCTTAAGTTGGGAGGATATGGAAAGATGGGTGGCATCATGCCTCTACCTCTGGGTGGCAGTTCCAGAGTGGCCTTCGATTTTGCAGAGCATAACAAGAGTGAAAATCTTTCTTTTTATTTTACAGCCAAGAGAAAACTGTTCTTATGCAGGTGCTTTTACCCAAGCCTTTTATCTGGGCTCTGGCTCCACTCCCTCTGCTTTCCTTTCCTTCTCTCCTTCTCAGTGGGTCTGGTTCCTGCAGAAGCCCAGCTCATGGCTTGGTTTTGCTTTGCGGCTGGTTGTTGGTTTGCTTCTTTGCACAACTCTAATAGTTGAATGCGGTTTCAATGGGAGCATTCTCGAGTCCCTTACTTTCTTCAGGTCTTTTTCTATTTACCCTGTGACTTAAATATGCATAGAGAGCTGTGTATGTAGTTAACACTCAATAAAAAGTGAACGAATTGGGACTCTAAACCCATCTGGACCTTCAGATCTTGTCATTTTTGTTGATGTTTACATGAAATTCAGTAACAGGTCTGTTTCCTTCAAGCTGAACACTGACTCCATTGGCTGAGACCATGACTTTGCTCTGCCTCTTGTGATGCTGGTGACATATACCCTTGTTTTAAACCTGTTACTTCCCTGCTCCAATCTCACTTGACCTTCATGGTGCCACCCTTCCTTGTTCGCCTGTCTCTGTTCTCTTTTGTCATCTTTGTGTGGTCACTTTTGTGATCGCTTCCTCTTACACAAAGCACTCTACCCCACCCCATGCTTCCTCTTTGGTGAGCATCAACCAAATTTATGATTTCAACCATGCTAAATGTGGCCCGTTATCTCGGAATTGTTTCTCTCAGAGCACCCAATCTGGATTTCAGCACTTTACTGCATTTCCCTAAATATTCCTACAGCATCTTAAACCCAACATGTGCAAGACTAAATGATATTTTCTTCTAAACAAAATCTTTCTGTGCATCATCATATTTAAATGAATGGCAGTGTTGTCCTCAGAGACTCTTACATTATTCAGTTTGAGTCCATATCCATCTATGCCTCTCTGCTGTAGGTTTCTGAAATGTGGCAGATTAGAACCATGGCCATTTTACTATATTTTACATTTTTGGAGTCAGGACTTTGGCAGGTGTTTTAGTCTTTTTTAGTCTTTTTTTTTTTTGCCACTGTGGCTAAAAGATCTGACCAGAACACTTGTAGAGGAGGAAAAGTTTATTTAGGGGCTCATGATTTTAGAGGTCTCAATCCATAGACAGCAGGCTCCATTCCTTGAGGCTCATGGCAGAAGAGTGTGGCAGAGAGATGCAGCTTACATATTAACGAGGAAGCAGAGACTCCACTTGCCAGATATAAGTATATACCCTAAAGTCACGCCCCAATTCCCACCTCCTCCAGCCATGCCTTAGCAATTCTGTTACCATTCAGTTAATCCCCATCAGGGGATTAATTCACTCATTGCGTCAAGACTCTCACAACCCAATCATTTATCCTGAACCTTCTTGCATTGTCTCAGACACAAACTTTTGGGGGACATCTAAACCATACTAGCAGGGTTTGCTTGGATGATTCTTAATCTTGTGGTATTTACTAAAGTCATCTAGTGAGCTTCAGTTTGACTAATATATTTGGTGACTTGGCAGGGATAACTGGGTCAGTGGGACTTGCCAACCAGATCACCTGTGGTCTCTCAGGCATGGCAGTCTCAGGGTCACAGGACTTCTGGCATGGTGTCTTAGTCCTCCAGAGGAGGCGCTTCAAGAGACAGGAAGTAGAAACTGCCAACCTGAGTTTGGAAATTAGCACCCCACCACTTCTGTTGTGCTCAGACATTGAGCAAAGCCATCATAGAAACACCCCATTCAGTGGAGGGAGCCTAGACTGCCTCTGGGTGGGAGGGAAGTCAGAGTATGTGTCCATCTTTAATTTGCTCTTCTTGCTTTTACCACCACGTCTATCATCTGCTCTGTGTCTTAACTTTTTATTCACATTGACAACACCTGAAGGCACAGCTGCATTTATTTATTTTCTGAACAACTGCAGTAGCTTCCAATTCACCTCTGCGCCTCTGTACTCTCCCTGAAGCAGTTTCCTAAGTCCACTGCAGTGAGGATGATCTCATCTAGGTGGGTTCCAGCACTAATACCCTGTGGTAGCTTGTCCTCTATGAATGAAGACTTCGCAGCTAATGTAGTTTGCTTTCCAAACCTAAACCTGCTCCTGAAGCTCCTCCTCTGCTCCCTTTGTACTCCCTGGTCTGGATGAGCCCCGTGCAACATTCCAAAGGCACTGCATCCTCCTTCTGTCCTCTCCAGTGTGCCTTTGACTCCCTTCCTTGGCATGGAATGGACTTTTGGAAATCCTCTTCATCCTTCAGGATTATACTCAGATATGAACTGCTCCATGGACCTGTCCTTTACCTCTCTAAATAGCAGGAGTACTCTTCCTTAACTCCTGTAACACTCCAGGTAGGGTGACTGTTCTGTGTTATGAGCGTTTCTTATTTTGAAGCTTGTTAATCGTTTAAACTGCCAAGAATTTTTAAATGCTCTCAACCCCAATGTAATACCTTCATTTGACCCAGTAGGTTCTCAGTTTAGATTGTGTTTAAGATTCCATCTCTAGCCAGAATATTTCTAGGCAGATCATCTATTAAAGGATATATGAATCAAATATGGCATTATGAGTGTTTTGGGTAGGGTAATCTTAATCAGGTTATTTGTGAAGAATAATGGTTGTAAGGTTATTAAATAGAATGTTTGAATATTAAAAAAAAAAGGAATGAGCAAGAATTTTTAAGGTTTCCACATAGAGCTTTAAGTTTGCCCAAGGGAGTGGTGACAAATTTCCAAGGTAAATCCAGTGATGGTCACAACTGTTCAATTGGCAGTGCTTGGAAGTGACTGTGGTACTCAGTGGAGCTTAAAACTTGGGTTATCGCATGAAATTAGAGAGAAGTCTGCATACACACACACACACACAATCTGAAATATTACCGAGGAACAGACTCTGCCTGAGGTATCTAGGGCCTCTTGTCTCCACAAATCATAAACTTAAAGTTAAGAAAACCTGAACTCACATTCACCAGTTGTTCTCCTCTGTGTTCCAGGCACCTTTCACACATGAGGGAGGCACGAACTTCATAGAAGGCAAGCACCTAGCGTCAAAGACCCCCTGCCCACCATGAAGGGTGCCTGCGCCATTGCATGGCTGTTCTCAAGCTTGGGTATGTGCAGACTCGTGCAGCCGGAGGCGCAGGATGCTGCCCAGTGCGAGAGAGCTGAGCACCCCGTCATTTCCTACAAAGGTAAGCATGCCCCACCTGAGAAGTGACTGGCAAAATGTGGATTCCATTTCACTGACAGAGGATGATAGAGTAACTATTGCTCTACTGCCCCGTGGGTCTTGATTTGGACATTGTTTAAGATAAAGGCAACAATAAAATTCCTCCATTGCAAGAATTCCATAGCCAGAAACTGATCACTACTTAGTGAAGGATCCCAGAAGAAATTTCTACCATGGGTAGCAAACTCCTCTATTACTTGAGGCTGCCTTCATTTACAGATGCTTCAGGTCTCCTGGGAGCCAGAGGATGAAAGTGTAACCTATAAAAAGTACAGCAAAACCAACTAAAACAAAAAAGACTGATTGTTTGCATTTCCCAAAAAAACCTTAAAAAGTTACTGTAAAACTCACCCCTTGCCTCTAACATTGCCAGAGCAAAACTGATTCCCAGCCTCAAGTTATCTCCATGGAAATCTAGGGCTAGTGAATTGGTCTGTAAAACCACTCATTAATTCTTAAACTCATTTGAATTTAGTCAGGGTCTTTTTATCCCAAACACTTGAAGCATTTAGGATGAAAAAAAATCAGTCTTTGCCCTGCATGCAGGGCTCTTACACTGACCTCGTCAGCCTAAGTCAGATACTATATTTTACTGATTCATTCAAAATAGCTTTGTATTTTGTTACTTCTTAAACTTTATACCATAAATTTCAAATATATATGAAAGTAGGGAGAATGGTGTAAGGAAAACCCAGCCCCACACTTACCAATTCATGGCTCATGTTTTTTTGTTTTGTTTTTATTTAAACCACCCCCCCCCCCATGCTCCATCTACACTCATCAAATTACTTTTATGCTAGCTTAACAATTCTTATAATTTTTATTCATCATATTTCAGTTTAAAACCATTAAAGTAATTGAGTATAATCATCAGATATCTGGGGATCTTGAAAAGTCTTGAGGGCTAAAGAAGTCCTGATTGCTGATTTCTGTTTCTTCCTTTTTTTTTTTTTTAAATAAAATCAGGATCAACATGAAGTCCATTAATTTCAACTTGTTAGTATATTTCTTGAGTCTCTTTTGCTGTTTTTTATTTGTTTGTTTGTTGTTGTTAGATGGTGGCCTTTCATCCCAGTGAATCCTCCTGAGACTGGGACCTGAGTTCTTCTGACAGCACCCACGCTGTCTTTGAAGTCACTCATTTCTGGCTGCTGGGAGCATGAAGAGTACCCACAGCTAGGCTTTTAGTGGACAGTGCTAAGGAAAGGCGTTTTCCAAAATGCAATTACCATAAGCTCCTTCTGATACTTCCAATTCGACTCCAGGACTCTAGGTCCTTTCTTAGCCTCTTCCATTTCTCCCTTCTCCTCTTGTTTTTCACCCTTGCAGGGAATCCCAAGTGGGCAGGCCCCATGATTATCCCTCTACCCTTTCCACAGAACACACTCTCTCATTTCAGAATAGGAGCTCAAAGCCACTGTAGTTGCTTTTGGTTATTGAAAAGCCTTTAAGATATTTTCTCTTCTTGGTCCTCAGGATGCATAGTTCATTGGGGAAATCTAGGAGACTTAATTATCTCTTTAAAATCATTTGAAATAATTTCCTTCTGTGTAGCTACACCACTAGTCCTAAGTCAGTTACTTTCTTTTGTTGAATTTTGCTTTTGATGTTTAAAAATCCTTCATGTTGACATTAAATTACTCTGTAGTTTCAAGGTAAATTAATGAAATGTGAGTGTTTGGAGGGCTCTATCTTTGCTCCCTGTTTTCTTTTCCTTTAGTTACACTTTATGATTTATACTTCCTTTGTAATATAAACAAAGCAGTATATACAGCATTATGAGTAAACATGTATTCAAATCTCTCAGATAAAAGGCAGCAGTTGTTCCTAGGGAGCATTTTGGACACAGCGATGCCTGCTGTTTACCATGCCCTGGTAGCACACAGGAATTGATACCCTTCTGTTTGTGGCCATGCCGCTGTCCACCATGGTGAGCCCTGATCTTCCCTACTCAGTGATGCTTAGGTTGTTTCCTGCCATGTGCCAGCACTGGTGTTGTTTTGGTGAACAGTGCTCCCCACAAGCATTTCTTCATGCAGAAGCAGGGTACTGTGGGAAGAGGTTCCAGGGTCTCTGGGTGATTGTGTAGAGCTTTGCAGAGGTCGCCCCCTTCCCTCTCATGAAGCTTGCCCCACCTTGTGTTCTCCCTGGTAATTTGTTGCAGTAACCATAGGATCCAGTCTGCTGCTGTCTTCCTTGTGGAGTGTGAGGTCAGACTTTGGGATTTGGGTCAGACCTATGATTCATAAGTGGCATTGTTATGGTTTAGATATACGATGTCCCCCAAAAGCTCATGTGTGAGATAATGCAAGAAAGTTTATGGTGAAATCATTGGGTTATAAAGGCCTTAGATGAATCAGTGCATTAATCCCCTGAAAGGGATTAACTGCCCAGTAACTGTAGGCAGGTCGGGTGTGGCTGGAGGGGCGGTCATTGAGGTGTGCCTTTGGGGGTATGTTTTGTCCCTGGTGAGTGGAGCTCTCTCTCTGCCTCCTGGTGGCCAGGCTCTGAGCTGATTTCCTCTCCCCCATGCTGTTCTGCAGCACAGAGCAATGGGACTGGCCACCTACGGACTGAGACCTCTGGAACTGTGAGCCCCCAGATAAACTTTTCCTTCTCTAAAATTGTTCTTGTCCCATCTTTGGTTCACAGTGGGGAAAAATTGATTAAAACAGGTATCTCATTGTATTTTTAATCTGCATGTTTTTAATTTTGAGGGAATAGTCAATAAACATTCATTGGGTGTCTGTTAAGGAACAGGTCTGTGCTGAGTTTTGAGGTGATAAAGGCAAAGTCCCATAAAAAAAAAATGTCAGACTGTTATTAGGAGTGTGAGTAAAAAGGGCCACTGCATGACCTTCGGTAGCTCGGGTTGCAGGAGGGGCTCAGGAGGGTTTCCAGGAATGTTATGGTGTCTATGGAATCACAAGGGGAGAGGTACTCCAGGGAGAGGAAAGGGGCAAGTGATAAGCCCCGTAGTTCAGGAAGGCAGCTTGCAGGTCCCAGCAGGCATCCTGTACCGAGTCATGGCTCCTTGGCTGAAGTTATGGGGGAGGAAGTAAAATGGAAGAGGCTCATGTGGTTAGTGGGGACTTAATGGTGTGTGGCATTGTGAGGCATCTTGAAAAGGCCATGCTTTATTTGCAGGATGGCAAAATGGTAGCAGAGAAAGAAGAGCCCATTTCTAGGCTATGGCTGGATCATAGGGAGCAGGATGAGGAGCTGAGGCCAGTGTAGGGTAGCAGAAATGTCGAGAGTGAGTGGAGGCTAGAACCTGGAACAGGGTGTGGGTGGTTTAATGGGTGCAGCACTGAGGGTAGGAGGAGCTCTGAGTGTGATATGCACATTCATGCACCTTGACTGCATACAGAATCCATGAGAGAGGCAGATGTGAGGGATGTGGTAATTTTGGAATGAAAAGGCTGCCTTCCTTTGTGACTTTGGAAGGAATTGCCTAGTTGAGAGCAGCACTTTGGAACCAGGGAAGGAGAGCTTTCCAAGAGGGAGGAGGCCATCAGATTACCCACTGATGCAGTGTTCCAGAGAAGGCAGAGTGGCACATCTGTGCTCGTTGGCTGAGACTTTCCAGGTTGTAACACTGAAAATCCTCTATGCCTGAAACTGGGACCCTTAGGTGCCCTTCCAGAAATTCTGCCAGTAATGGAGTGTTCTCGTTCTATGGTTACTGCAACAAATTACCAAAGATGATTGGCTTGAAACAAAAGCAATGTTCTCTCTCACATTTTTGGAAGTTAGTGATCTAAAATCAAGGTGTTGGGAGGGCCTTGCTCTCTCTGTAGGCTCTGGGGAAGAACCTTCCTCCTAGCTGCTTGTAGTTGTTAGCCACCCTTGGCTTTCCTTGGCTTGTAGGAGCATTATCCGATTGCCTGGTCTGTGGCTCTGTGTTCTCCCTGTATGTCTGAGTCTTTTTGTCTTCTCTTACAAGGTCACCTCTCAAACAATCTCATCTCAAATGATTCATCTACAAAGGCACTATTTCCAAGAAATGCCCCATTCACAGGAACCTGGAATCAACTTCTGTGGGAACACACTCCCACCCATAACTTGATATTTATTAGAGTAGGTTTCAGGTGGTGCTAGCAAGAAGAAACCTGACAGTTGTGGATAAACAGAAGGTTAAAAAAAAATTAGACACAAAGAGAGAGAAATATTATCTCAGCCAGGCAGGGACATGAGAGCAAGAAACAGCTTTTAGAAAAAGCATTTTTAAATCATCCTTCATTGGCGATGACAAAGAGCCAGATGAAGGAAGGGGCTGAAGAGAGAGAGTGGAAGAGAGAATGGAGTAGGCAAAGTCTCTGAGCAGTGGGAGGGGCGAGGATGCTGGGAACAGGTGAGGGGTTATCTATAAGAGGCAGACTCCACCCCCAGGGGAGAGGCCAGGGCACTCAGGATGCAGCTGTTAGTGGGTAGAGGGCGGGAAACTCTGAGTCCTTCTGTCTTGGTGGAGGAGAAGGCAGCCATAGACCAAGAGTCTGAAGGTTCTAGGAAGGAAGCGCTTCTCTGAAGGAAGGATAAAACTGTTGATGAAAAGACACCAGAAGTTTCCTTTGAATGGTGGAAGCCCAGACAGTCCTGGAAATAGCTTATGTTACTGCTCAGTAGGTGGCCACCGTTTACATGAAAACTTGAGAGAGTAGGCTGAAACACTGATAAGGAAGACCAAACTGAAGAACTGGAGGGTTTTGACTTTAAGGTCTTGGTTTCCACATGCATTTAAAAATGTCATGATTTAGTGTTATGCACCAGGGGCATTCTGCCCCGGAGCCTGCTAATGAGGTGGACGGCGCTGCATTGACCTCTTAATGCGCTGAGCACAGTTTGTCAACGTCTTGCTTCCATGTACCTGGCCAGGCAGAAGATGCTGCCTGGATCCTTTTTCCCCAGCCTCTGTGAAATATTTGCCACCGTAGGCTCGTCCTGTCTAGAAGAGTTCATTGC